CATGGCTCTATGTTCTTGATTTTATATATATATATATATATATATATATATATATATGTAGTTTTTGGTCCTTTAATTTTTCTAATTATGTTTTTTATTTCAATCTTTTTCAATATTAGATTAGTCAAGAAATGAAATCCATGATATATTTTTTTATACTTTATACAAAGTTATTACAATATCAAATAAATATCTTTTAAGGGTTAGTACTTGATTTTTGAAGTACCTAATTTTATTATAAAATTAAATAAAAATAATTTAAAGAAACAACAAAGTTACTAAATTTATTGGAGTCTATGATCCAAGTTACAGGTATCCCCAAGATCAATCCAATTTCACATATTTTTAATATTAAAAAATTTTTGTTTTATTTTTTTTAAAATTATATTATGTTTTTATTGGTTATTTAAATTATTTTTAAATTTATTAAACTAAATTATTTATTTTGAATTAACTTTTTGTAGTTTCAAAACTTGAGTTAGTTAAAAATCTTGGTTAGCATATATCAAGATATTTCAGTTTAATGATATCTAAAAAAAATATTTATATTCTTAATAATTTTTTAATTTTTTTTTAAATTAACGCTAATCAAATTTGCTTGTTAATACGTTAGACAGAGTCACAAGTAAAGACAAACTAGCGTCGTTGTGGCTGTAAGTACACGGGGATTCCACAACTTTTTACCTTTCTTTTTTTTAATCTTTCATTTTTTTACCTCCTTAATAAGGTGGGACTTGATATACTAGGAATACCCAACAAGCTGCACTAAGAAAAGAAAAATGTAGACTTTTGCCTCTGCACCAAATAATTTATTCAAAGTTTTAGCTTAACTAATGATAATTAAGTGGTAAAGAGTTAATTAAAAAAATATTTGTAATTTAAATTTTATTAGTTATATTTTATAATTCACATTAGCATATATAATTGATTAAGATCTCCAGTTGAATAGTTCTCTCCAAATTTAACTTTTAAAAATAGTTATTTATCTTTGAATTATATCCAAATATATATAAAAAAAGTTTATGTGACACTTTTAAATCCTTACAAAATGAAAAGATATTCCCAAGATATTCCCCAATGTGGGAACCAATAACAAATAGTTGAACACTACAGCAACATACTGATACATGATGGAAATCTCCCTTCCTAGTTTGTCAAAGTAGAACAAAAAATAGAATCCTTGAAAAGTACTAACAATGATATGGTTATTTCACCTTGACAATGTCTATATCAAAGCCATTTTGGAAGGATTGAGGGAAAGTTTACATATTACGTAAGTGTGGTACTGCTGGTGCTGATTTTAGATCAAGTTGTGACTTATGCATGAGCGTCTGGCCCTGCTGGTTTTGAGTTGAGAAGTGGCTGAAGAGCCTTCACAACAATAGTCATGTTTGGCCTAAAGTCTGCTTCATATTGAACACAAAGTGCTGCAACTGCTGCTAACTGATATACCAATGAAAAAAAAACAAGTGTTTTCAAGCATTCACCAAAACTTCAAATTGCCTAATCCCAACATGTACTTGAAGCTATTTCCTTTCCATCAGAATCAATAGCAGAGACTAACCGAATGCTTGATAATTTGTGTTGAGGAAAAACAAGGGATAATAGTAAGCACCTTGGCAACTGCCTTTGGAGGGTAATCATTGTTTAGCTTCGGATCCACACATTGCTTCACTTTATCCTCACTCAATCTTGGTGTTGCCTGCAGCAATTACATCTCTTCTGGGTAAAGGCACAAATGGAGAAATGCAGAGGAAAGGGAGGCCCAAGTATAAACTGAAACATACCCAAGTAACAAGACTCTGTTGCCCTTTAGGCATTGTATGGTCTACTGGCTTTCTTCCTGTCAACAACTCTAGAAGAACTACTCCAAAACTGTAAACATCACTTTTCTGAGTTATCTGTCCAGTCATGGCGTACCTGAAAACAAACCATGGATTAGAAAAGAGAATGTAATTAAATCTCAGAATTTGTAATGCAAGACAATAAGGAAGATGGTAGAAATGTTATTGCATGATTAAGAGTTACTACTAGCTGCTAAGAAAGTTCACGCACACAGAATATATACTTCACTTTACTACATTTAGATACTCAATGCTTTCTTAATAGATGGGAGAATGAATGTTGACGATTAGAGTAAGCCAAGACTGCAATTTCAGACAACAGGCTAGTATTAGAGAAGATATGAGGCTCACTCTGGAGCATGGTAGCCAAATGTTCCCAAGACCCTGGTTGAATGCAGTCGAGCAGCAGTGTCAGAATGGGCATTTGACAAGTTGAAATCGGCAATTCTGGACACGAAGTCGTCAAAGAGGAGGACATTGCTTGATCTGACATCGCGATGAACTATAGGAGGCTGAACCTTTTCGTGCAGATACTCGAGGCCTTTTGCTGCCCCATATGCAATTTTAACTCTCTGATTCCAGTTCAGAACTGGACCTGGTTCAGCCCCTTGTACACCTTTCCTCCCTGCAGTATAAAATTAACTAAATATGAACAAATTCCAAGAAACAAATGAAACTAAGAAACATCATAACTGGATTTACCATGTAGTACATCATGTAAAGAACCCATTACTGCAAACTGATAAACCAAGATTCGGTTGTTTGCCTCCAAACAATACCCCGTCAACTCCACAAAGTGTTCATGCTTAAGTCTTGAAACTACAGACAACTGCATGACCCCAGATGCAAACATCGAATCAAAACTTTGTGACCAAAAAATAGCATTTACCAGAAGGAACGCTCCCAATATCTAACCTGTGCTGCAAAATCAGAATCTGGTTCCTGTGAGCTGCTGGTGTCTAGCTTCTTAATTGCAGCACGCATGCCATCACTTAACTTGGCATAGAAAACTCGGCCATAAGAACCTTCTCCGATCAAAGCCTTTGTACCAAAGTTTCCTGTCATCCTATTTAGCTCATCCAAGGGTATTGCTGGAATTTCAATAGGTAATACCTTCTGTGGAGCTCCATTTCTGGCTGGATTGGCGCTTCTCGGCTCTCCTCTCCCGCTGCCTATAATACACAATAGGAATTATCACATCAGAAACTTAAGAAACCCAGGTCATGCACCAGAAAACATTAAATGTTTAATCTTCTTGGCTGCTATTCGATTTCCCTTAAAACTATTATCATTCATCGGACAGGAGATATTGCCAAAATGGCATTAAATTATGTCAACAATGGAGGCAAAGAACACAAGAAAATTAAAATCCAATGTTGGTAACTAAGAATAGAATGAATTACCACCATATGGATTCCCTCCTCTAGGCGGGGCTGTGTATTGATTAGCTGGCGGGCCATGGGGTTCCTCCTCTTTATCTCCACAACAGAACATATGAATTCTTGGATAAATTTAATACAAGCAATATCCTGCAATCCCAGAAAAAAAAACAAACCATATAGAAATATGTTATCAACACAACAAAACAAACGAAGGTCCTTTTTATCCAATCAAAAACCAAAAAACTATCTGGGGTTGAAACGAAATATGTCTTTCAAATAAATTACACCTGTTGAAATACTTGATTCCATCAAATCATATCAATTTATGCACATTGGGGAACACCAATCAATTTATGAACATTGGGGAACACCAATGATGTTGTCAAAGTTTAATTCATGATTAAATTGTTAATGTACATGTTTCTCAATGTTAAAACCTCATAATCTAATCTCAAAACAAAAAAGAAAAGAAAAGAAAAGAAAAGGTGATTCAAAAGAGCAGCATTAAATGGTCATCATTGATCGGTCAACCATCAATAAAAATGAACACACCTAAAGCCTGTGATAGATGACCCTGTCAAAAAGGAGTAGAAATTGATAGACAGACTGGTAGAGACAAAGAGAAAGAGAGCAGGGGATAGAGAAAAATTGTGGAAACTAAAGAGAGAAAGGAGACGGTTGCTCTTCTGCAATGGCTCTCTGTTTTTGGGACAGAGAGGCACCCAGGTCCTTTTTGTGTCGCGGGAAATTCGGTTAAAAAAGAGTTTAACCGCTATAACTGACCTACTCCATCCTACGGACTTGCCTTCACGTTTTGCATTCATCTGCATGTCCCATGTCCTCTTTCTTGCTTAGTTTTTATGCTAATCTTACGGTGCATCTTCACCTGATCATCGATATATATATATATATATGATGATCACCGTCTTCATGGGTGACCTCACATTAGTGGGCCACCGTCTTAGACTTCATGGTTTGCATGGTGGATGCCCTTGGTTAAGGTCAAAGGTCAATGATTTGACCGTATTTGGTCTCTCTCTCTGTCTCTCTGGAATAGGTCAATGATTTGACCGCATTTGGTCTCTCTCTCTGTCTCTCTGGAATATGATTGCACCAACAAATCCTGCTTCAACCGAATTGGAGCAGAATAGATAGCATGTGTGTTCTCTTTTTCTTTCTAGCTGCATGAGGTAACTGTTCTTCAACACCGTTTTCCTTTTCATTTGAGATTTTGTTTATTAATACATTCAACCATTATCTTATCAATTCTTTCAGCCCTTGAACAGCTCGGTGATTAACCATAATTATTATACTGGCTCACAGTTTCTCGAATTAACTTGAATTTAACTAGATTAATTTCTAAATCGGTTTAAAATGAAACCTAGTTCGAGCTAGATTGTACAAGCTATTGAATCAACTCCATGAGTTCAGTTGATGAAATTTTACTCGACTTTTTCTGATTGTGGTCTGAAATTAACCGGTAAAGGTTGAGAATTAAGCTGGGATTGACCCAGATGCTTGCTTTGTTAAGCAAGGGGATTTTTTTTTTTTCATGCTATATAACTTGCTAATCTTTTTATTCATACTACTAATTTTCTAGAAACCAAATCCTGTCACAAGCTGATTTTATCGTTCCCTTCAGACAGTGAGGTCGAATTGACCTCCACTCTTCATTTTACTGGAGGGACACCTGAAAGGGTATGAATGCTGAGGACAAAGAAGATAGGTGGTGGTCAACCTTGCAGGTTTCCAAATAAAGTATCATCAATTGATATCTGTAAGAGATACAAGGAGACAGAGTTGATCTTTCCCTCTTCTTGTCTTAATGTGGGCATGTGGTACAAAAACATAACAAAACAGATTACAGCAGGTTCGGTGATATCCAGAATGTGTTAACTGCACATGCAGGTGCTGCCCAGATCCCTCAGCCACCGGTTTAACACCGAATATCCAGTTCTTACACTGTCAACAGGAATCTGTTCCATAGAACAGTGAGCTGATCAGATAGATGCCATAGACCAATCTCAATCATAAACACCAAGACAACTGAAAAACCCCAATCAGCATAACTAAAGCTACATCTTTGGCACATTGAGAAACCCTAGCATCCTCGTGAATTTAGTTAACTGTACAATAGCCTTAGCATCAACTTTCCATCTCATTCTTCTTTCCATACACGACCAGTAACCCTCAATTTCAGCTCTTGCCTATCCCCACCAGAGAAGTAGAGAGCCAAATTCCTTTGAATAATAAGCCCATCCTGGCTGTCACGGACTTTCCTGTGACTGTCACGGATGCTCCTGGGAATCCCTTGCCATACCAGTTTACGACCATTCCCACCAACTTCTAAGCTGTAACTGAATTTCTTAGCTTCGTTATCATCACCCATAAACCTTAAGAAGGCCATATAGACAGGTGCCATGCCCAGCTGGAAGGCCTCAAAATGTAAGCAGAACTGTCTTCCAAAACAGTTAAAAACCTGCAGAGGATCATGCAATTCAGATGAAAAGTGATAAACACTGCCCAGCAACACAAGTAACAACTAACTAGTAAATAAAGCATGATTAATGAGATTCCAAAAATAGCTTTCTAAGAAAAATTTATTGTAACAAAAGGTTGTGATGCAACTATGTCAAATGGACATCAAAGCAGCACGTACACCAGTGCATTTACATTTCTAATAGCATCCACAGCACCATAATTCTAACAACAGGAGCTAAAAACACAAGAACCATAAGAAAGAGTTGACAAATATTCCAAAACAGCCCAGCAGGAAGCATGCATGAATTACATCAAAATCTGTTTCAAATATTGCTTTTCACTTTCCTGCAAGGCATTTTTCTAATAAAGATCCAGTCAACATCAAATCCCAATCCCGAGAAGAAAACACTCAAAAAAGAAGGGAAAATTAAAAAGTATGGCAACATCTTACATATAAAAATAAGTCTAGCAGACTGCATCAATGCATGCACAGACACACACGCATACACAAGAAAAACCCCAAAAAGAATGAGTTGAACAATCCAACTTTATCATACATCATACAAGGAACTTACTGTAAGCATCCATGTGGCATTTTCAACTTCGTGTGGATTTGACTTGACATAACGATGATTAAAGGTACACCCATCATGCATGTCAACCTTGTGATCATCCTTGAGATGGGAAACAAGAGCAGGGATGTCACCGGTTACAGAGCACTCAGACCCAGCATAAGGACAGCTATATGGACGGAATCGACAGTGTTGCTCATGCTTGAGCTTGCTGTAATATGGGAAAATATCAAGGCATCCTAAGCTCTGGAATTTGCAGGGCAGCTCCAATGATTCTGCAACTTTCTCCAAAGCCAAGCACCGTATATTTCCAAGATCATAGCGGCAAGTAGGGCAACAGTTATGTACTCTAAGCTTGCAGTTTGAACATAAAGTGTGTCCATTTGGGCACTGTAACAACCGAGTCCAGCCCACAAGGAGTGGGGGGTTAAGAAAATTAATTACAATATTAAGCAATTTGAGAAGATAAAAAAAAAATGAAAGAGGGAAAAGACTTTTAAGTTACAGATTTGAAACAATAAACTGAATCTCCAAACCTAATTGACCATGTAAAGCAGCAGCAAGTTCTATAGTAAACTACTCATGAGGCATTTCTGTCCTAAATATGCAATGAACCAAATGGAAGAGAGTAATTTGTTAAGCTCCATGCATAAGTCTACATCTGGCATCAATAATGCCACCTTTTCCCCACTAATGAATTCAAACTCTGTTCTCAATTCCTTTTCTATGCCCCTACCGCAGGCATTATAGTATTTTAAAACTTGTGCTAACAGTACATTTTATTAAGCTAATCGTGACCATATCTACCAATCAGTAACTTTATTGAATACACTTTACTTCATTAAATAATCCATAAACAGGATAGCAGAACTGATTAACTTTCAATTTAAGCAATTCCCCTAGAAGCACTCCACATCTCCAGGTTCACTAAAATGAGTACTTGCCAGTCATTGACGTGATAAATACCTTAGTACGGCAAACTACAATTAATCTCTCTTAACTGTATGAGATATCTTAGGCAGTTTCCTTCATTATAACCTTGACAAGGTGATATTAATTTCAGAGATCCTGAGTTGCTCTGCTAAAATTATATTTTTGGGAAGAAGTCTCAAGTGGTACGTGATTGGTCAGAAACAAAATTCTACTTAAAAGAGAGAGGGGGAGTTTGCATGTTGCTTCAAGGAAGAAACCACACTAAAGGAGAACAATCCATGATAATTAAGAACAAACCTGGTGAATTGGAGGGTACATTAAATTTGTACAGACAGGACACTCAAGGAGCTCGTGCACACCATTGTTTGAATAAACCCCATGCTTTCCACCACCCAGAACAACAGTACCTTTTGTTGGTGTAATGTTATTTTCTGATTTTGAATTTGCAACGTCACAATCTGCAACTGTGGAATGAAATTCAAGAGCTTCTTTAAAAGCACTTCCTCCAGGAGCCATTGCTATTCCACACTTGATAATATTTTCCAATAACTAAAAATTACACCACTATCGCCTCTCAAAAGGATTCACACTCCATTGGCCTGTAAAAAAAACCTCATTAATAGGAAAGCTATATCTTATGCGCAATATACCAAATGCAAATTATCTAGATTCGACTGCCATCCAGTGCAGCAACTGAACATAACACTTTAATAGAAAGAAGTTGTTGTGTTATAAGTTTTAAACTGTAAACATACTGGCAGGAATTTTGGTGGATTTGGGGTTTTCAGGGAATCTGCAGTTGCCTTTTGTATGCAGAGGCCACTGGCCATGAAATAAATTCAGTGTGTGTGAATTCATGACTGTCTTATTGAAGTATGTTACGATAGATTTCAGCTTAACACATCGTTTTATTTTCACCCCGCCCCTTCAAAATCACACATGATTAGAGAAAGCAAGGGACCTTTCTTGTCGCAAAATAAAAATTATATAAAAGCACAAATAAGACATAGAACACCTTTCAAACTTGTTGCCCCGCTATGCTACTGGGAAGTGGCTTGCCAACCATAAGGCATCTTTGGCAGCCAGAAGAAAAAGGGCGGGCGAAACTCAATAAATTGCCCAAAATAGAATGCATCTACAACAATTCCTCCACAATCATCAATGTGAATGAATCTCCATTTTAAGTAATATATGTAAAAATGAGAAAATAATAATAATAATCATCGTTTCGCAAGACCACCCCCCCCCCCAAAAAAAAAAAAAAAAAAAACCACAACCCCA